TTTTTTCTGTCAGAAATTACTGGGCCTAGGAATGTAAGTGAATTGGGAAAGGGGCATTTTTGTCCAGAATCCTTGTGTTTCACTTCTCCCTTACCCAAGAAAATATATATTTTTTGTTTATACACCAGAATTTTCTTCATATTCCAGTATCTACCGAATGAATCAATCCAGTTGCCTTTCTTTGCAGCATTGCCTAGTCTAGTTTTCATTTCCAGCCAATGCCCTTTGACCTGGTTTCCATTTTCTTGTTTCCTGTTTATTCCTACAGTATTTTGACCATTTTTTGTTAGCCTTCTATTTCTTCTTGTATAAGCTTGTCCTGAAAAAAATCAGAAGCAATTTCAAGATCAGCTGAGGAATCAGAGAAGCTGGTCAAGGTGCTATTTGGAGATGCATAAAATTCAGTAGGATGTCAGGCCTATCAAATATTCATAAAAGATTCCTGTACTTCCCAGAGGACTTAGTAAGCTATGGAGCCATTTTTTGCTCAAAGTCTATTTCTTCTTGTATAAGCTTGTCCTGAAAAAAATCAGAAGCAATTTCAAGATCAGCTGAGGAATCAGAGAAGCTGGTCAAGGTGCTATTTGGAGATGCATAAAATTCAGTAGGATGTCAAGCTTATCAAATATTCATAAAAGATTCCTGTACTTCCCAGAGGACTTGGTAAGCTGTGGAGCCATTTTTTGCTCAAAGCATAGTGCTTCTTTCACATCATTTTGCTTTGTATTTGCTGTTTACTCTCTTCTCCATTGCTTTTAAATAGATGTTCACGTCTTTGCTTGGCTTTTGCAGATTGTTTTCTCTGATAGCAGTTTCCCACTTTGAAACAGGTTGCCATATATCAGATATCCCTGAGAGCAGAAATGTAACATTTATTTATGCCTCCATAATTTCTTCATCCTGCAGCCAGATAGTTCGTAAAAACCCACCGAGATGACACATTAGTGTATTAAGTTCAGTCAAGGGGCAAATTTCTCTGTCCTTCCTATTTCCCATATGACTTCTGAAGAGAAGTCTAGGGACTTTTGCAAGCTGGGATATGGCTTTGTTTTAAAGTATTATTTCCATTCTTTGCACTTACATGTATCCTCTCTGAATTTGATGCCTTTTTGCTATTGTTTATTAAGCAGATTTTCCTCTGTCATTCATCTGTATTGGTAGCTAGTTGAGAGGCAGATCAGCGCTCCAAGGATTGCTGATACTGCACAGAGAAAGGAGAGGATGAGAAAGAGGTTAAAAGGAAATGGGGAGAGAGAGTAAGCCTTGTTAAAGGAGATGGGAAGCTATTTGGGATCAGTGAAAGACCTTGCATACTTCTGTCAGCAGTAAAAATATTTCAGATGGGTGAGTAAACCTTCTCTTCCTGAGCAGTGAATGGGCTAAAACACCCTTCTTCCTGGCCATTTTGCATCCTTAAATCACTGTAATTCCCCAGATAATATCCAGCCCTTCAGTGACTCTGGCAAGCACTGCTGTGCTGTGCTTTTTAGCTGAACACAGCTGAGGACAGCTGTGAGTCCTATGACATGTGAACAGAACAGCACTGTTCTTGCTGTCAGCTCAAGAAGTTTGTTTTCAGTTTGGCGTTTATAGCTTTTTGGGTGTTTTTTTTTTATTATTATTTTTGACTGCCCACTGCACCTGAATCTTTTCCTGTGCATGGTGGGACTGGGGGATGATTTCGGTCCTGTTGATGCTACCTAGGGCAGAGCAGACAATTCTTGCTTCTGACATCGGAAGGCTTTGTTTCAACCTGGATTTATACTGAAATTTTGTCTTGGAGGATTTGATGCAGTTTAAGTTTGAGACCAAAAAAAAGAAATGTTAAAAAGGGACTTCCCGTAAGCCTCTACAAAAACATTTTTTCATGTACGTGACTTCTTTGGCTATGACAGTGACTTGATGCAGCAGAGTAACCAGGCTGGGAGATGAAAGACCTGGAGCTAAGTCAGACCTTTCCATCCCTCTCCTATGTGGCATTCTCAGTCTGCCTTGCCTGGCCTCGCTTCCTCCACCATCTCCTGCATCCTCAGGGGGTTCAGCCTGAGAGCTACTGCAGTCTTGCATTGGCTGGGAATTAGATAACACGTCTTCATTTGGGCCTCCTGTGCTGTTTGGGTAGTGGCTACTGTTCACCTCAGCCCCTTTTGCTGTTTCTCCTTTTCTTGTTTCGCTGGCGAACGCTCGTTCCGTCGCTGGTGGGTTGGGATACCTCCCGCAGGCTCCCTGGTGCACCCTGGCTGTACAGAGCCATCGTGTTGGGCCAGGGCTGTCCCCAGCTCGGCAGCTGTGCTGCCTGCTGCCTCCGGTCTTTTTTTCCCCTCCTCTTGAACTTGCAAATCTCTGGTCTTGAGCACCCTTGTGCCGTTCCCCCAGTCCTGCAATGTGTAGCTATTTTCACTCTCTGAAGTGTCCTTTGCTGAGGAGTCTGTGCTGGCTTTTCAAGGCATCATTCAACTCCCCATTCTGCCTGCAAATTCTGCATTATATCTGACCCCCTGTCTCTCCTTTAGGCAATTTCCTGCCACTTCTATTTCGCTCTGGGGATAATGTGTTTGGAAAAAGGAGGAATCTTTGGGTTCAGCGTTGTTCTGGGGTGCAGTTACAATCACGTCCTCCATACAACAGGTATCTTGCATGCCTTGTGAAGCTGGAGAAGTAACAGAAGAGGAGGAAATGTCAGAAGTAGGAAGAGATACTTTCAGGTGAAGCTGTAGAGTTTGAGAAGCAAGCTAGGATGGGAATGCAGAAAGAAGTTGGTGAGACTGCCAAACACCCTGAGAGGCTTTCAGAAAGCAGGGAGCTAAAGATGGCACAGCAGGGATCTCCGAGTTGCAGTGGAAAGTGGTGAAAAGCTTTTTTCAATGTTGCTCCTCACCTGCTCCTGAACTTTTTCGAAATGGATAGCATCTCCATGAGAGCCTCGGCTGTTCCTGACAGATCCCACCATAGTGTCCTTTGAATCCATCATTTTTTGTCCATGTCACAGCAGTGGCAATATTATTTCATACTCGCAGTGCTGATGGTGAGCCATCTGGAAGGTAACATTGCATCTGCTTGGTCTTTGATATCTCAGATGGTTTTGTACTGCTTTATACAATTTAGGCATAAGACAAAGAATTGATGAAACTTATCAGACTTTCTTCACTGATAGGACAGAGCTTTGTGGAATAGATTTGAACCAGTGACCTAGAGGTGAAGTGTTTTAGTTTTATTAGTTGTCCCTTGAGCCATCTTCTTGCTCTGCTTGCAACTACAAAATGCCACCCACTCGATTGTGTTGCAGGATGTGGTTGTTACAGATTCCTGGTGCGCTGGACAAGTCCCTTGCCAGTTTTCCCAAGTACTCTAGACTTCATTGGGAAGGAAAAGGGCAGTATAAACATAATGATTATTGGTCTAGGCCAAACTAAAGCTGGAAAACTAAGAATTAATGGTGAAATGCCAAAATATCAGGATACACCAAAGGTAAGGAAAACTGTAGTGTCAATACTGTCCTCATTTTGTGGCGGTCATCACAAAATAGTCCTAAAGTACATAATCGTGTTGCTGATTTTTCAAATGATGCAATATAAATGGCCAGCCCTGAAAGTGCCTTCATGTATTTAGCCTTTGCTTGCTCTGTTTGTGTGGTCTTGCTGCTACCAGAGGTTGCACACAGGGCACGGAGCTCTCTGCTAAGAAATGGGGGTGGAAGTGGGTGCTACTATCATGCATATTTTTCCCCACAACCTGTGTAGTATCTCGAATAATCTCTTTTTGGATAGTCCAGCAGTTTTTCCTGAAAGAGAGCCCAGGCTGCTTCTGTTGGCTTGGACTTCTTGTCAGTTTTTTCCATGTTTTTTAATGATTTCTCAACGTGAGTCACATTTTCAGCATCTCATTTTTCCTCACCTCCATTTTAGGGAATGGATTAATTACCACAAGATGCTAAATATATCTGCAACATTACAGAAAAAGAGTGTGGATGGTCTACCCTATCCTTCATTTAACAGGCTGCATGGTTAAAATTCTACAGTTTCCTATTTTCAAGCTTGTACTTTTCTTTCAAACCCAAATCAGACTTTTCTGGGATGTGGTGCTAAAGTGTCCTTCAATGGAGATTATTTCCATGACAGCTGTGTCTTTCTGATTTGAGCCGTTTCAGTGTTACGGTAGCCTTTAAAAAGTAAATAACCTAGGGTTTTCAATTATTTTTTTCTTTTTTTCTTTTTTTTTTTTAAGATGGGAAAAAGTATGTTTTCCCTTGCCTCTGAAACTGGGCTGTTAATGAGGTGATCTTGCCTAATCAGTGTTTTAGGAAGATAAAATTATTGAAATTATACAGGCCTTTGTATGCTGCTAGTAATACCTAGGCCAATGCTAAGAAAGAATTCAAAGGTAGTTTTTATGAGAAGAGTCTCCTCTCTAAAATTACCATGTCTTCTCTGGGTGACATGTTGGTCCCTTTTCACCATGCCAGACGTATTCTGCCCAATAAAGACCTTCTGGTCCGAGATAAGCAATGAGCACATGCACTAATGTAGCGTAGACATGGTGGAGGGAGCCACTTTATCTTCTGGGCTTTCCTTAGTAATTTTAAACATAGTATTTCATGGTTACCTTTCAAAACTGTCTTTGTGTCCCACCTAACATGGATAGCAACTATGTGGGAATTACTTTTGAAAAGAAAGCCTAAGTGTAGTGTTTTGTTGCAGGTTTCAGTGAAATCTCTGGGCTGCAATTAATGCTGACATTTCAACTGAAAGCGGAAATGCTGACTAGAGTAGAATTTGATCTGAGGTTTTATAGGCCAAATTAAATGGCCTGGAGGGTTCTCAGTCGCAGGTCTTGTCTTATTTGAGACCATAGTTTAATTCTCCAGAGTGTGTTTGAGCCTGCTTTGGGGATTATGTGCTCAGCTTTGAGTTTGGGGTCCCTAGCATGTTTCTCCAAAAGTCATTCTTACACGTCATTACTGTGCTTAAGTGATAAAATCTTTGCTAATCTTCCTCTTTCAGAGAATTCGGTCGACAGTGGATGAGAAGGAGCAGAAGCAGCTTCTGATGGACCTTGATGTAGTAATGCGAAGCAGTGACTGCCCGTATATTGTTCAGTTTTATGGCGCACTCTTCAGAGAGGTGGGCACTCCAAACTTGCTTCATTCATAGCAGAGTTTGTATTTTGCTTCTCTTTTCTTTTTCCATTTTTTTTTTTTACAGTTTTCCACTTGCAGTGAGGAGGAGAAAGTTAATTTGTGTTGGTATTTTTAGACCTCCACTTTTAATCAAGCATATTTAAGTAAGCAGCCCAGATGTCTGAGCGCAACTGAGCGCGTGCTCTCCCACTCACTGCCTAGTCTGTCTGCATGTGTCAGTCACTCCTTCCTTCCTGCCATTCCCTCCTTCTGAGCAGCTCCTGAGTTTGTGGCTCTCCAGAGCTTTTGCTGCCACTCTGCATCACCCCGTTTGAACACAAATGTGCTTCATATGAGCTGTTACCACATGCAGCCTAATGAAAGTTCTGCACAAACTCAGCACCCCTGCGGCAAAGCTGCTGCAGTGATAGTAGCCACGGATCCTCATAAGCTCCTCATAAGCTTCTGACATACATACCGTGTATCAGGGCTGTGTCAGGAGACTCCTGGCTGACATGCTTCATCTTTAGTGGTTTGTACCTGCAGAATATGAGGGCAACTACAGTTGTTCAGAATGGAATTGCTAGGCTTGTGTCCTGTCTTTGGCAATGGCCCAAAGTTTTTGCTAACAGAAGCTTACGTGATTCTTCCCTTCAGGCTTTGATTATATGTAGTGGGTGTCTTCAGAGGGAGAATTAGTACCTGTATACTTAGTGATTCTCAATGGATTACTTTTCCATGAAAACATTCATTTTTCTCTTAAATGAATGTACATTTTTCATATTTCCAGTGCAACTGCTATCTTTGGTTGTCCTGCCACTTTGGTTTATTTTGAATTTGCTTTCTGCTAGTTTTGGGTGGTACCTCTAGCTTTTGTATCTGAAGAGACAGCAAACGACCATTACTCCTTCTCTCCAGACCACCAAGGATTTCATGGACCTTTGTTGTATTCCCCCTCTGTCATGTCTTTTCCAATCTGACAAGTCCATGTGACAAGACCCATTCCGGACCTTTGATCTTCTTTCCCATTACTCTTGGTGTCTCCTACAGCTCTGCTCTGTTCTTTTGAGGCAGATACCAAGTTTCATGACTGTTCTTGAAAGAAGCAGTATCAACAGTAGCTAGGCCAGGGGCTGTAATTTTGCCTGGCCCTTTTATACACATGCATATCATATACTGTAGAAAGAGTTATTCAGTAAATGCTTCCACTGCAGCCTAAACCTAGGACACTAGAAGGAGAAATGTAAGGGACCTACAACCTGCTCTTTGCACATTATCTGGTCTATGAGTATGAAAGGGCATGTTTCCCTTGTTGTATTTCCTTGTTGTACGGAGATTTTTATGTAAGCCTGGTAAAAACAGTAACAATATCTTAACTAACTCTATCGTAGAGCAGTTCCATGCTTGCTTTCATTCATTTCATCTAGGTTTTTAAGGATTAGTTAGTGATTCAAGTTTCATTTAATTTATATACATAACTACCACTGAATCCTTATCCTTCTTTGAGCCACTATTGGTAATATGAAATGCAGCAATAACACTTTGCATTTGTTGTCAGTGCTGAAAAAGAAAACCGAGTTCTACATTCATTGCCTGACCTCATTTCTACAGTTTAAATTTGGACAGGTTCTCAGCCAGACTTAAGCATTGCCAGTTTGTTCTCTTTCTCCAGCTGCCTGATTCAGCTTTGCTCCTTTCTCCATGTTTCATGTCAGTTATTTGAAATGTCCTCCCATGCTGCAGTTTCCTCCTTCTCTGTGACTTCTCTATCACCATTTCTGCCATGATGTCTCTTAAAGCAGTTGCTTTTGTGTTGCTCCAGGTGAAATGCTTGTTTTTTAGGCCCAGGCTTTTAGCATCCGTTCCCCTTAGACAGGTGTCATTAGATCCTGCTTTGCCATGTGCTGAAATAAAAAACCTGGTACTAAAGGAGCAGTGTAAAATGGGCCCTCCCATGACTGTAATTCTAGGGCCTTCCCCGCTGGCTAGTACAGGAGAAACTCAGCCCTTCCTAGGGAGTCTGGTAACTGCTTCTCCAAATAGGTGTATCTTCTCAAAGGCAACCCAGCTCCTTTGACAAGAGGTTGTGTTCTATTCATCATTGCTGAAAACAGTTTTCCATGTGTGTGAGTAACCCAGCAGAGCTGGATGTTACCATTGCTTCTGCTGATACTCAGCACCATAGTGGGCAAGCAAACAGCATTTGAGGGAACCTTTTCTGCGCAGTTCTGTTCCAACTAAACCAAGCATTTGGCCTGGAGGTGCAAGGTCTGACCGATTAAGTTCCTTGGCTTATGTTTCACAGGAGCTCGTTCTCAGTAAGTCCAAAATCCTTTTTTAACTTCAAACCCATGGCTATACAAACCTTTGATCTTAAAACCATGGCTATACAAACTTTTTTTAATCATGTGAATGTAAGTTTAGAATTCCTCCTGGCTGCTGCAAACGCCTGGAGGTGTTTGAGGAGAACACCTCAGAGGTGACTCGAGGTTTGCTAGGTGAGTGCGCTGGCCTTTGTTTGCCGCAACTTCCCACTGTGCTCCATCCAGTTTCCTTCTGGTTTCTTTTCCATATATTAACAAATAGCTTGGCTTGGTTTTTGTCCATTCGGAAAAACTTTACCTTCTATAAGATTATTATATAGGGAAATGTCTTCAATATTTGTTACTACTTATATCACAAGAGAGTGGAGCTTACTCATAACCAGAAACCCTTTGACCTGTACTCCCCAACAGCAAGGTAGATGAAGCCAATGTTGC